ATATCGTAACTATGTTATATTTTATTAATTTCAGGAGAAAACTGCTGATTTAGTCTTACTAATATTATAATTCAACGAATTATTAGACGAAAATCTGAAATTCCAACTCGAACGTTATTCTTCTTTTTGTTTCGTTAAAATATAATTAACATCATCATTAATGTTTAAGCGTTGAATTTATTTAATCAATTGTATTGAGAAAAATTAACGAAATGCTGCATAAAAGTATTATTATTATTATTATTATTATTATTATTATTATTATTATTATTATTATTATTATTATTATTATTATTATTATTATTATTATTCTCTGTCATATTGCATTAATACAATTTAATTTATTAAAACTTTGAAGTTTTGTTTATGCTAATGAAGAGTTAAAGTCAACTTGGATGTTTGGTTAAGTTATGTTTTATGTTTTAAGCGCATAAGTAATAGTTTATTCGAATTAAGCAGTACGAGTTGCGTGATATATTTTTTGGTTTCTTTTTTTTTCCTTTTTTTTTTCTTTATTTATTTATTTATTTATTTAATTATTTATTTATTTTTATTTTTTTTTTTATTGTACATAAATTTAAACTGACGATTAAGTATTAAAATTAATTATTCATTTTACATTGTACATTTGACTTACTTTACGATAAAATATCCAATTGTCAATATTGTGACTTTACTGGGAAACTGGGAAATGTTTAATGGCTTCATTATATCCCATTATAGTATGCACATATATGAATTATGAAAGGCATGTGTGCGCTTTTCGAAACTATTGGTTTATTCCGATTCGAGTGCCTTATTGTTGCACATTTCTTAATTATTATCATCCTTTTATGTTTGTTACTTTATGCGATTTAACGCATTGATTATCGGTTGCTTACAACTTTACTCCTTCAAACTTAATCGATATGCGTTTCATTTTTTGGTTTTTTTTTTTTGGTTTTTTTTTTTTTTTTTTTTTTTTTGTCATTGAGGAGGAACACTTTGGGTAGAAAAATCTTTTATTTCCATTTAATAATATTTGTCTCTGACTGTCGGAGATAATTTATCACTTAAAATCAATTACCCAATGAGCTTATAATTGTAAATTTACGCTTTCGTTTTGCAATACACTTCATGAGCGTTTCATTTATTAGAGTTTAAAAAAATTCATCAAGTTCTTATGAGAATAAAGTAAAAATAAAAATGAAATACACAAGGCAAATTATAAGAAAACAACGTTAACGAAGAATGAATTAGTGAACTCTTCCAGTACATCTAATTAGTTAGAATCAAATTTTTAAATATCAATACGTAAGAGTTTTTCATTAATATAATTAAAGTTTATAATGAGTTTTTCTTTTAATTTTTATAATTGTAATTGAATATTAAATATTATAAGCCGCGATTATTTCATTACTTTTTATTTATATTGTGCAATTTTTTTTTATTATTCTTTGTACCATTCGATTCCTTAAATCGTTCAAAATTTGTTGACAAACTGTTGGAAAAACAATGATTAATTTCTTAAAAAATACAAGGAACCTTATGAAATATTATCACTTTATTATAAACAATAGATTATATTCGATAAAAATAGATACGATAGCACGGAATACATTATGAGGCATGAAAAAATTTTCGTAAAGCTTTAAGTATTCGGTAGACAAGTTGACTGATTAAATCAAAATTAAATCAAAGGTGATAATATACTATATATGGTTATTTTGATGAAATTTCCATTTATTTGCCCAGATATAATTATATGGTAATAAGGAAACTTTTTTTTTTTTTGATATTTACGTAGTCATAATTTGATAATTTGAGCTTTAAAACGTTTAAAGTAGTTTGTATGTAATATATCATTCGTATATGATTTGATGGAAATTCATTTATACGTATTTATTAACGTGCACACGAAGTGTCAAAAAATTATAAAATCTTAAGAACTTAATAGGTGGTACGACGAGCAGTATTGACTTTTATTAATACCGTGCATGAAATTGTGATATTTAAATTTAAACGGATAGAGCGATGAAGAAGAAGAAGAAGAAGAAGAAAAAAAATTGCGTATGCGCTAATCAAAAAAAAAAAAAAAAAAAAAAAAAAAAAAAAAATCCCAATGAATTTTCAATATTAACAAAGAAACGTTTGGGCAAGTTCATTAAAGTCTACTAGATAAATCCAGATATATTAATTGAAGAAATACAGAGCTAGCGATATCAAGTGGAAGCACTCGTCCTATCCAAGTCTTCGATACACATTCATGGTTTATGTTAGCAAAGTAATCTTAAACGGTTAGATCGATAAGCGAGAAGAAGTGCGTTTTCTCAAAAAGTGCGGAAACGTAAGATTAGTGGTGGTATTGGCCATTGGATTCGAGCTCTCCATGAGAATTCAACCAGTCGAGTCGATAAGAGTGGCAATGAAAGTGAAATGGACGTTGCGGAGATGAAAGCAGGGAAAGCTTTCTTCTCCATCACAATATCAAGTGGATAAATGTGAGAGAGTGCGTGTCCATTTATTTATTAGCGATGAGGCGACACGACGATCGGACGATCGTACGTAGAAAATGATGGACTAGTGAAGCCTTGGCAGTGCGCACTTGACGTCCGGAGCTTCTTCGAATTGCAAAGTTCAATAAAACAAGAGCGATTAATTATCAGGACGGCTATCCCTCGATGAGTGTTGCGTCGATATTCGAAGGCGAGATTCGAGACGGAAAAAAAAGTCGCTTTAATAAGATTGCAAACGAAAATAACCGGGCGACGCGCGAAAAGTTCAAAGTCCATGTTGCATAAGAATGAGGTCACGGAACTCGCCCGCGACGCGCCGTGATTTACTACGCGATTTCAAAGTATATCGACGCTTGTCCCAGTAATGAGCCTCTCCGTTATTACATTGCGTACGCTGACATTCATTACTTTCCAGCGCACTTCCAGCATAGTTCACGTGCGCGCACATACACTTACACATTGGCTTTTTTCTGGTCGAGTGGCAATTTAATCGTCTTTGGGAGGCTGCTGGTGATACGCGCTTTCTTGCCATCTTGAGCGTATTAATTTATTTCTTGAAAAAGTTGACGACCGAGTTAGGTTTGCCTACCTTTTCTCAAACTTCGCATCGTCTGATTATTCATTACTTTAATATTACTAAAACACCTTTGATCTCTCATTTTTTTTTTGTTTCTTTTTTTTGTTTTTCGTTTTGTTGTTGTTGTTGTTGTTGTTGTTGCTGTGATTCTTGCTGCTGCCGCCGCTGCTGCCGCTGCTGTTGTTATTGTTGTTGTTGTTGTTGTTGTTGTTGTTGTTGTGCTTTGTTTGCCTCTTTCTCTTATTTTGCTTTTATAAAACAAGTATAGATAGTGATAGTGTATGTGGATGTCCGAAAGAATATAATAGTCGCTTGTTATTATTTTTAAACTAGGTTTCCTAAAGTGCAGTCAGGTAAATAAGCTCGTTCCGCGAAACAGAACAAAGTAGCGCATTTGAAAAAGAAATGTAATTAATATAAATTGAGATTACAGATATTTTATAATATTTCATCAGCAATGTAAGTGCTCTAAAACGAGAAATATCTATATTTATGAAGAATTGCAAAACTGTAAGTCACGTTAAATGCTTAACAATAACCTTCGTTCAATTTTCAAACGCAACGGTAACATATTTGTAGTTTTTTATTCCATTTTTTGTTGCATTTAACAGCATCACCTTGAAATTTAATGCGTGCACTTATTTTAAATGTGTGTAATTGCTTTAAAATACTGTAGTGACAAAATTTCATTTCAATTTTTATGATTTTAGTGGGATTTAACAAATAGCGCTATCAATAAAAGTGTCCGTGATGAATTATAATGAAAGTAAAGAGTAACTGTTACGTATTATAAATACAACCAATACATTATGAATATTTGATGGTAAAATTTTATTTTTATGTCTTTGAATAAAAAATTATTAAAATATGTGTAACACATAGATACATAACACTTACTATAATAATGACGAACGCGTTGACTAAACTGTTACTAGTGCGTGAATATTATCAAATTTACATTTAAAATGATCGAAGTAGATAACTTCTTTTCGAATGTCCGTTTGAATTTATTATATTATATCAGTATATCTTGAATTTTCCAATATTATTATTATTACAACCAATAACAGGGTTTAATGATTAAATTGAAAAAAAAAAAAAAAAAAAAAAAAAAAAAAAAAAAACAGAAGAAAATAAAATAAATAAATAATTTAATTAATTGATCTTTTAAGTAAATGATTGAAATGATAATAAATTATAGATATAAATTATATATGTGATTTTGATTTATAAAATAATTTTAGAATTTACATAATTTTCTACGATCCTTTTTATCTCTTTCAATATATAACAATATCATCAACATATTTATAATTCAAATTTAAAAAGGAATCTATTCACTATAAAAATTGCGAAGAATAAAAATTCTCTTTAATATTGCTTTCTAATTTTTTATAAAGAATATGAGGGGTTTTTATACCAGCACATTTGTATATTTCGGGAATAAGTTAAGAAAGTCGATAGTATCTTGCTTATAGTCGATAGGAATTTAGTTTTCGGAAACATTTATTGGAGGAAGGATTTTTTTTTCACATTTCGTAGTGAATTTTATAAAGATAATTATTTAAGATTATTTTATTCTATATATATATATATATATATATACATATATATATATATATATATATATATTATGAATTTTTATCGTTAATAAGAAAGAATGTCTAATGCATAGTATCTCTCTAATATTTAATTTATTATTTATTTGTAAGCTTTATGATGATGAACTTAATGTATAATTTATAAGTTATGATATATAAAGAAGAATAAGCTTTTCTTTTTTTAAATAGAAAAAAAAAATAATACTAATTCCATTTTTGTCATTGTTTCTATTTCAGAATCAAGCTCGTTTAATCAATAGAAACACGTTTAAGAGAGTGAAAAATCAACGAAGCCGAGAACGAAGAAACTTTTTTTTTTTTTTTTTTTTTTTTCATACCTATATCGTAAAGAAGAAAACTAATAAAATTAAAGAAGATGTATTCCATACGAAAAGCTAATAAGATGATGGCGAGACGCAGAGTGACTCTACGATCCTGGAATGCCTCGAACAAGAATTTCGGTACAGATATTGAGTACAAGCCAATACGCAGTGTTCTCGTCGCTAATAGAGGTAAGTTTTAATGAGAGTTTATACTTTACAACAGCAACGCAAACTAAAAAAGTCTGCTTGTAAAACTAGCTTCGTCGGAGTCTTTGGAGTCTCGCTATCTTTTTCTCTGTATTTCATCGTTGCGAAGGCGCATAAATTTACAACTATTGATATACGGACGTATACGATTATATTTCAAATAGTCGCATATTTTCCCAAGTACTTTTATTAATATTAGGAACCACTTGAATGTAATAAAATTCGTGATAAAACATCATATTTCTTAATTATATGAAAGCTTCGTTTCATTAATGTTGATATATAAGCAATTTTAAATTCTAATTATACAATCAAAATTACAATTTAAAGTTAAAGCAACAATTTATTTCCATACACGCGTAAAGTTTTTTTTTTTTTTTTTTTTTTTTTCCTTAATAAATTTTTAATTTATATATTAAACTTGTACCACTATCTACTTGATAAATTAATGAACATTATTTTATATATAACATAATAACTATTCGTATACAATAATATTATAAGTGCATAGAAATAGATACACAAGCCATACGTATATACATACATGCGTACTTGTATGTGTATATAGGACAAATATCTATTTTTATTAGCTTGAAAAATATTTTAAAATAAATTCTATTTTCTAAGTGAAGCAATTTTACTATTGAAAATAGTATTAGTACAATTTTTCCTAATTCTAACAAAAATTACGTAAAACCGTCATCAAAATCATGAAATGAAAATTAAAAAAAAATTGTCTCACGCAATGTATAATTATTTATTTTATTTAAATAATTCAATAACTAAATGTATAAAATCTGAAAAAAAAAATTTTTTTCTTTATCATTATGTATTATTCAATTACGTTTCAAATAAATCTATTTTTTTATGTAATTTGAAATATAATGAAAAATATAATTAATTCCTTCTAGCATTTACACTTAAGTTATACTTAATAATAATATGATATATTTATAATTTATGCAGATATGTTTATTTAGAAAAAATATTTAAGATAATTGTAATAACAAATATATTTAATTATTTGTTAATTTAATCATAATATTTAATCATATATTTTTGGCAATATTATAAAAATCTTGCTAATTTGAATCAGTTTCGAATATTAATGTTTAAAAGATAAAGTCTATGATAATTGGATAGTCATTGCCCAAGAAGCATCAAAGTTTGTTATATAAAACAATGTAAGAAGATATTTTTTTAAAATTAGAAATAAAATATATTTGCCAAGTAATTTTTAGGTCTTCCTTGTATTGTCACTTCTTTCGTTCTTTCTCCGATCAATACATCTATAAATTTTCACTTAATTCATTCATAATAGTAATGAGTTTAAAAAATTTGGAAATCAATTGCAATTGCATATTAATAAAAGAAAAAAAAAAAAACAATATAAATATAGATTTAAAAATATTGTTTAAATACAAAATTTAAGCAAGTGCTCATTGCATCTTCAATTTTACGTTATAAATAAGTTATTAAAAAAATATTTATTTATTCATCTTTTCGATATATTGATAATTTTTAATCTTACTTCACTAATGAAAGTTTATAAAGGTCATATTTTTATAATAATTATCTATCGACTTAAAAATATTTTATTTAACACGCGTAAAAATAAATTGAATTCCATAAAATTATGTAGAAAAATTTCTTGGTATGTAACTTGATAGATTTTTCACTTTTTAATTACATTGCATTCGATAAAATATATGTTTTTTTTTTTTTTTTTTTTTTTTCCTGAGCTATTACGTAATATAAATGTACGAATGATTAAGAATAAATAAATTGTAAAAAATATTTAATTCTTTTCAATCGTGACTATTAATTTAATGATTTTATTATAATTTGAGTAAAAATAATTGAATAATTCAATAGAAATTCTAAATTTTGAAGTTTATAGAAATCGTATGCTCGTAAAGTTTGAATAATTTCATTTCATACATAAAATCTCTTAGATTTTTGTTGAATAAGAAATTTAGCATGATAAGGACATACTATATATATTAATCATTTACAATGTATGTCAAAGTATGTTATTCAAGAGTATGCGATTTTTATGAATTGAAAATAGTTTTTGTATGCTTAAGCATAAAATAAGTAATCCAAATATAAGTAGACGTAATCTGGTTCTAATAAAAGTTGAATAAGTTATCACGCATTTATTTATTTATTTATTTTTATATAACCTTTATATTTTTAATGTTAATAATTGAAAAAATATTTTATCGATGATCTTATGTTTTGCATTATTTAATAATAGATTAAATATATGTGTTCGTTTGCATTATTATAGATTTTGTAGTAGTTTTTGGGGAAAAGAAAATGAAAAAGAAAAGATGTCAACCGTCTGTACGATTCTGATGAGCAGCAAATACTTTATCAATAAATAAAACGAATGAAAAATTAAATTAATATATTAAAGTTTGAAAAAATGTTAAAAAATTGAACGAGATAATTTCACTTAATATAGAATCAAAATTATAAGTTGCTTTCGTAATGTATGGACATTTTATTTAAACTATTAATGCCTAAATACGTGACGAAAGATAAAAAGAAAAATTTTTTTTTTTTTTTTTTATTTTTCATATTGAAATAGTAATAGCGTAAGACTTATTTACAATTTATCGTTTTATTTCAATTTATTCTAATACAAAACTTTAATTTTTGTCTACTCGTTATCGCTTTAATGCATCAAGTACAATTATCTTTCGTGACTTTTACGACTTCTTAAATATATATTACTATTGGATGTAGTAATGCTTGTATTATATTTATTAAAAGAATATTTTATAAATGGACCATTATCGTTTTATAAAATGCAAATACTTTAATATTGAATTCAAGTATTTAATAATGATAAGGGGATTGGCAAAAACAACAGCATCAGTAAGAGAAATAATAATTTATAATCAATTAATTATTATTGATATTAAGTGGAAATAAATAGATTTTGTTAAAGCATCATTATAAAAGAATAAATATTGTCCCTCTAATTAATCATCCATGGGATTAATATTTTTTTAATCATTAACTGATTCATAGCAATTCTTAAAAATATATTTTTCAACATTAAAAGGACTAAGTAAGAACTGTTAAAAATATAAGCTAAAAGAACATCAAACCGAATAAAATGAAAAACAATAAATAAAATAACAAATGCACATGTCAATAAAATATTGTTATAATTATGTTTTATTAAACTAAATATTTAAAGAATAAATTGGCATCGCTTAAAAATGTTACTCAATAAGTCTTTATGAATGTCATTCGTGAGATTTTTTTTTCAATTTGGATATATCGAAACTTGCATAACTCAAAAATGTTGAAATACTTAGTAATATTTACGATTTTATTTTAAATAAACTTTGTGTCATAAAAATATAATTAGACGTAATAGATTTGAGATTAGAATTATTTTGTAGACTTATAGCGAATGAGGATAACGATTGAAGTTTTTTGAGGAATAGCAGGACTGAATGGTCTTTTATATTAATTTAATAACGAAAAATAATTTAATATAGCAGTTTTCTCTGCAGCGTGACAAATTTATTTGTCAAAATTAATATGTTTAAATTGATTATCAATTAAATCGTTATAAAATTCTCATAAACATGTAATATTGTATATAATACGTAAATTCTTTTATTCTAACAACTATTATTTCTTAATGTAATCATCCTTGATATACGGGTGGTTATAATTTTTTTTTTTTTTTATAATTTATAATTTTGTTTTTTGTATACAATATACAGATTTTATTCTTTCATTTGATTTTTTTTCTCTATGTATCTATTAATTGAAAAATTACGATACTCAAATCGATCGTTTGTAATAATATAATGTATTATTATTATTAGATTATTGCGTGATGCATACACAAGTAATATAGTACAATTGAGTAAAAAATCAATTTGTTTATTTATACGATAGCTTGTATGTGAGAAGTATCATTGTGACTAAAAGAATTTATCATTTATTGTAGAATATTAAAGATGAGTGGTTCTATTTCTTTTTTTCTTTTCTTTTTCTTTTTCTTTCTTTTATTTTTATTTATTTTTTTTTTTTTTTATCTAAGCTTGCTTTATTATTTATTATAAATGAAATGAAATTGATTGAAAGATTCTAAGTGTTGTTTATTGTACACTAATTATTGGAATTTATTATTTTATCTTAGTATAAGATCTTAAAATTCTTTATCAAAAAAAATATTGACGCGATGGATATTTAGGAAAAAATAAAGTTGTTGGTAGTTTTGAAGTAATTAAATAATAAGCATTTCGCTAATAAATTGCTTCGTTATTTATTATTATTAATTGCGTAATATATAATCCATTGCCTAGAAGGGCCTAGACCATTAATATAAAGAATCTATATATTTAATAACGAACGTTTGTTTGTACAAATCGAAAAAATGATAATCAGTAAGAGGCGGTATTATGGCTTAACATGGTTTTTCTTTTTTTTTTTATCTTTTATGCAATTATGAATATTTACATTTCCAGATGTTTACGTAATAAAAATTAGCGAATCGTGGGATTTGAAAAAGCGGTTATTTTAATATATTCTGACTATGGTTGAATTGGTTATTATGGTCGGCTCGTTGCCTTATTCCCTTCGATAATATCATATTAACATATTTGAAAATTATTTCGCGAATTTCGACGAATTTTCATGTATAAAAGTCACTTTTTTTCTTCATCTCAATTTCAATTCGTAAATTCGGGAGAATAAATGCTAGCGTTGGAGTCGCGTACTTATCACCTACGTATTTCCAAAGTATTCAATCTCAGCGCTCGATAAAGCTCGATATAATGTTATTGATGATGGAAAAAAACAAAATAAAAAAATAAAAAAAAATAGGCCTTTCTCAGGAATATGACCGACATGGTATTATTTATCTATTTCTTCTTCCTTCTTTAGGCGAAATCGCAATCCGGGTGTTCCGAGCATGTACGGAATTGGGTATTCGCTCGGTAGCCGTTTATTCCGAGCAGGACAAAATGCAAATGCACCGGCAAAAGGCAGACGAGAGTTACATCGTTGGTCGTGGCTTACCTCCCGTTCAGGCGTATCTCAGCATACCGGAGATAATAAGGGTGGCCAAGGAGAACGACGTCGACGCTGTTCATCCGGGTTATGGTTTTCTCTCGGAGAGGGCTGATTTTGCTCAAGCCGTCATAGACGCTGGCATTCGCTTTATTGGCCCAAGACCCGAAGTTGTTCAGCAAATGGGAGATAAGGTAATTTCCATTTGCTGTTATTCACACCGATAATGCTGGCGAGTCGCCGTTAGAATTTGTTTTCTATGTTTGATAGCGTCGCTACGTAAGATTTCTCAGCTCCGAACAAGCCGAGTGCAATTGTATTCTGGGCATTCTTTAACATGGCTGAAGCATCCAATTTATAAATCTCACGCGTGTAATTTAATTTTATTATATATCGCAATATAAGTGGTGATGGTGGTGGTGGTGGTGGTTTTTTTATTTATTAATTTATTATTATTTTTTTTGTTTTTTGGTGTTTTTTGTTTTTTGTTTTTCAATTTTCAATCCCGAGTGTAGATCGTGTTGATTAAAGCCAACGATAACTCACTCGCATAACAAGTTAAAAATTGAAAATAATTTTGATACGTTTTAAGTATATTCAGCGCGCGTTTCATCCATTAATTTCTCTATAATTAATGTAAAATGTTCTTTAATAAATTAGACAATTAAAGATAAATTTGCGATGTTTGCTTGGACTTTTAATGTCGTATTAATTGGATTAATTATGATATTATTGTAGGTTGCGGCAAGAAAAGCTGCGATCGACGCTGGTGTACCTATTGTTCCTGGTACAGATGGTCCTGTGACATCCTCCGACGAAGCGATGGAATTTTGCACGAAGTACGGCTTACCAGTTATATTTAAAGCGGCTTATGGTGGGGGTGGACGAGGTGAATTACAATCAATTATTCAAATTGCTCTATGTTATTATTGGAGTTTTGAGGTAAGAGTTAAGCCGATTATTTATTAATCTTTAGGTATGAGAGTCGTGAAACGAATGGATGAAGTACGCGAATTATTCGATCGTGCATCGTCCGAAGCGAAAGCTGCTTTTGGCAATGGTGCCATGTTTATTGAAAAATTCATTGAACGACCACGTCATATCGAAGTTCAGTTACTTGGTGATCACGCAGGCAACGTTGTTCATCTTTACGAACGCGATTGTTCCGTTCAACGTCGGCATCAAAAGGTAAGCTACTATTATCAATAATTAATACGGTATTTCAAGTATAAAATATGAATTTTCAATTAAAATATCACGCTAAATAGTCGGTATATCGATAGATTTACGAGTCTCGTAATATGTAAAAAGACTGTCCTAGATTCTTTATTACTATACTTATATTATTATTGTTTATTTGTTAGTTAAAGTAGTTAGTTTAGTCATAATTGCGGCTACCTTAAAGTTATATTACTATTTAAGTGTTGGGTAGCATTCTTCTTTGATTAACTGACTAACTTTCATGTTTCTCTCTCTCTCTCTCTCTCTCTCTCTCTCTCTATAACAATAATAACAATAATAACAATAACAATAATAACAACAATAATAATAACAATAATAACAATAATAACAATAATAACAATAACAATAATAATAATCGTATCGATCCAAGGTTGTTGAAATAGCCCCGGCGCCAATTCTTGATTCAAAAGTTCGAGACAGGATGACGGAATATGCTGTTAAGTTAGCCAAACACGTAGGTTACGCTAACGCGGGAACAGTGGAGTTTTTGGCCGACGAAACTGGTAATTTTTACTTTATCGAGGTAAACGCGAGATTGCAAGTAGAGCATACAGTGACGGAAGAAATTACCGGGTAAGCCATTTCATGCTTATATAATCATTAGAAATCATTAGATTAATGTAAATTATCTTGTTATTGGTGAGCAGTATTGATCTTGTTCAATCACAAATTCGAGTGGCGGAAGGTATAACTTTGCCCGAATTGGGCATGACTCAGGAGAAAATAAAGCCCCAAGGATTTGCCATTCAGTGTCGAGTCACTACCGAGGATCCCGCAAAAAGCTTTCAACCCGATACCGGCAGAATAGAAGTATTCCGCTCGGGAGAGGGTATGGGTATTCGTTTGGATGGTGCTTCGGCCTTTGGTGGTGCCATCATTTCCCCCTATTACGATTCCCTTCTCGTCAAGGTATTTTGGCTTTTAACGTATTACGGCTGAGTGGATTATACAATATTCTCAAATTAATTTTCTTTACAAATGAATAATTGCATAAGGATATTAAACATCATTGATACCACTTTTACGTATTATTAATGTATTTTCAATTTGATCTAACATTAATGCATTGCTCGATTGGGAGATATTAGCGGTATACAAATTTTTGTCTAATTTACGATTATTACCGACGATAGATTAATTTGTCAATTGTAATGGAACGAATATTTGACCATCGCATAAACAAACGATCATTGTAGTGACAAACAATTATATCACTAGGTCATCGCCCATGCTGGTGATCTTCAGTCATCTTGCGCAAAAATGAACCGAGCCCTTCGCGAGTTCCGTGTTCGCGGCGTCAAAATGTCCTGGAGAATCAAAAGTTCTTAAATGGCAACATCGACACGTATTTCATCGACGAGAACCCGCAGCTCTTCCAATTTCAGCCAAGTCAGAATCGTGCACAAAAGCTTCTGAATTATATTGGTAGTGTTCTTGTGAATGGGCCGAGTACTCCCCTTGCGACCCCACTCAAACCTGCCGAAATCCGACCGAATGTACCACAAATAGCCATAGGTAAGTCATGATTACATTCATGTTCTTCATACTTCACGTATTAGGTGTTCTTACCTGCCAAGTTATCAATAATTACTAGTTACGTGTAGTATTGGTGTACCTTTATATGTATATCAATAGATTTGTCAATTTGTTGATTTGCGCTCAATTATTTATTATTTATAACTTATTATGATATTTTCGAGCCCGCTATTATTATCATAGTTTATATAAAATTTTATTGTTGTTATTTTATAGCAGTTAGTAAATTTTTATAAAGTGGAATCTCTGATTTTATTATTAGCTAAGAGTTTTATAATTTACAGAACAACAACTTTATTCTACATTAAATACAGTAATATCAGTTTAAATTAAAGGCCTTCATCAGTAACATTATTCTTTCTTAAACTAATACGTTCAAAGCTATGTGCACACTAACACGAAAGAAATAAAAAATTATTACATACATCGATTGAAAATTGTTATATCGATAAATTTAATTAAAAATACATCCTCAAGTTATATTTACTAGACATTTCTTTACATTGGGTCTATTTATTTAATTTTTTTTTTTTTTAAGCATAATAGAGGATTATTACTATTTAGTATGCGATTTATTGGGTAGGACAAGGCAAAACATTCATACTATGAAAGTGGTTTGTAACTTGCTTTAAAGATATCCGACAATCAAACATGTTTTTTTTTTTTTTTATATTTGTTGTTAAATTAAAAAAAAATCTAATATTTATCCAGCGATTTATTATGCCAATTTTTTTTTTTTCACCCTTACTTTGAATGCGCAGAATTTCTTATTTCGATATATGTAATAATTATAAGAAAAATGATGAAATGTTTTTAATGTTTGTTGTTCATACTAAGTATGCTAATACGTAAGATATTTTTTTCTGTGATAATATATTGTGTCGAAAAGAAATTCAATTATAAGTGTGACCATAAATTTTTTGAACTGTTTATCTCGTACATTAAATGAATTTTGCTTTATTAAAGCTTATTTTCTTTTAGCGCCTTCACGAAATTAGCCTTTTTGTCAAAAAAAAAAGAAAATTTGATTCATATAGTTTAATAAAATTTTTCGATTTATATATATATATATATATATATATATATTCCTGAATTTTGTAAAAATTATTAACGAGGATACTATTAAGATATTTATGCGCTTAGACACTGATGCGCTTAAATTAAAACTTAAATTAAAAGAAAAATTTTTTCATATTAACATTAGTGTTGGGCTCATTTTTACATTTGCAATCGAATTATAATGTAATTTTAACAATCATTAAACTCTTTTTTTCTAGATACGCATAACGAGACATTTTAATTGAACTTTTTTTCAAATTGAAACTAACATTAGAAGAGAAAAAGAAAAGAGAAAAAAAACAAAACAAAAAATGAAAAAAAAAACAATTTTTCTGTGTATGCATATGAATATATATATATATATATCAATTTTCCATACGTTCATTAGCAATATAATATCATTCGATACAATGAAAGTCTTTGGTTATACGAATTTCGCATGCTTTATCGTTTTGTTTGCGAATGTTTTTAGACTATGCTAAGCTTGCAGCAGCCGAGGAGTCGGATCCAGACGCACCAGGTACGTCTAAAATTCTGAAATCATAATCTTTTTACGACTATCCTTACTACATCCATTATATAACGATTAATTTTCAATACGATCATTCGTGCTTATACTTAGTTGAAAGTAAGGATTAACAAAGTTGACGCATTCTTAAAACTGTAGAAATGAGCATGGCAAAAGAAAAGAAAAGAAAAGAAAAGAAAAGAAATGAAAAGAAAAGAAATGAAAAGAAATGAAAAGAAAAAAAGAAAGAAAGAAAGAAAGAAAGAAGGAAAGAAAGAAAAAGAAAAGAAAAGAAAAATAGAGCAGAAGTAAACGACATATGAAAAGTAATTTCATGAAAAATCAGAACGTGGTTGTCGAGTAATTGAAGCTGTTTGTTTACAGATATACAAAGTCCTCCGAAAGGCTTACGGCAAGTCTTGACAGAAAAGGGCCCGGAGGCCTTTGCCAAGGCCGTTCGTCAGCACAAGGGTCTATTACTTATGGACACGACCTTCCGCGACGCACATCAGTCACTCCTGGCGACACGAGTTCGCTCGCACGATCTCTTGCTCATTTCGCCCTTCGTCGCCCACAAGTTCCACAGCTTGTACGCGATGGAAAACTGGGGTGGTGCCACTTTTGACGTGGCCCTTCGCTTTCTACACGAGTGTCCTTGGGAGCGACTTGAGGATATGCGTAAAATTATACCGAATATTCCGTTCCAGATGCTGCTGCGAGGTGCCAACGCGGTTGGCTACACCAACTATCCAGACAACGTAGTCTTCAAGTTCTGTGAGCTTGCAGTGCAAACGGGAATGGACATTTTCCGTGTTTTCGATTCTCTCAACTACATGCCTAACTTGATTCTTGGTAATAATAATTATTTAAACGCTCATCTTGATTTCACCTCAATGCTCAATTATTATTATTATTATCACTTGCTATTGTATTTTTGGCATTATTTCGTCTTCGATTATACTCGAGGGGATATTTTTTTTCATAATCGACGGCTATAATATTTGTAATATAATTGCGATTTTACGAAACATTTACGAAATTATTGGCAGTATTTTATTCGTAATATTATTCGGGAGCATTTGAGAACGAAAAGTAACTAACTTTACGGCAAAGAATGCTTTCACTTTATGCTGAAAATCTTTTGAATTTAAAAAGTTGTACATTTTCCTGAATAATCAAACATACGATTTTCAATAATTCCAAACTTTAATGAATGTGGATTTATGTAGAGGTAAGGAAATTTAAGTGAAAGTGTAATTGGATAAATAAATCAATATATAATTTGAATAATGTGAATATTGTGCGAGTAAATGTTAATTAAAGATATCGGTAGATGCGATGTTAAATACATAATAATAATTGATCTAACGGTTATAGTTAACGAGCGATGAAATTTATGCGACAAAAATAAATTTCTTTCATAATTTTGCTTGCTTTTGCCCTGACATCTTCCATCGAACAGTCGATAAATGTGATAAAATAATGGACAAATAAAGAAAAAGAAAAAGAAAAAGACAAAGACAAAGATAAAGATAATGATAAAGATAAAGATAAAGATAAAGATAAAGATAAAGATAAAAGAAATTCCTTAATAGTTGGCAGGGCACGTACCGTTTTGAATAATTTCACAAGTCTCGCATAATTAAACAAACTGGACAATCATAGCTAATCATCATCAGGCTTTAATGATTCGTTGATATTGGCAGGAATGGAAGCGGCTGGCAAGGCTGGTGGAGTCGTGGAGGCCGCGATATCGTACACGGGTGATGTGAGCGACCCAAATCGTACAAAGTACGACTTGAAGTATTACGTTGGACTTGCGAACGAGCTTGTAAAGGCCGGCACGCACGTTTTATCGATTAAAGACATGGCGGGCCTTTTAAAGCCCAAAGCCGCGAGCTTATTGGTGGACGCCATTAGACAGAAGCAGCCGGACGTACCGATACACATTCATACTCACGACACTTCGGGATCCGGAGTTGCCTCGATGCTCGCCTGCGCCGAAGCTGGTGCGGATGTGGTCGATGTGGCCGTGGACAGTATGTCCGGTATGACAAGTCAGCCGTCAATGGGAGCAATTATCGCTTCTCTCCAGGGTAAATTGTTTCACACTTGTTTTTCTCGCTTGTCTCCTTGTGTTTTAGAGAGCGAGCTTTTATAAATCTCTATAATTACTCTTATATGACTAATACTGTAATAATTCAAGCTCACTTAAAATCTCTTATTTATTCAATGATCAATTTAACCTTTATGCGATACGAGTAAATTAGTTTGTCACTTTGGAATGACAAATTTTTAGAATAAACTTTTCAAATTATAGATGCTTAAAAGAGTTATAAATTAATATAATTTCGTCGTTAATTTTATAAATTAAAACAAAACAAAAGTCTCTTTTAATCTTCATTTCTTTCATTCTTCTTATAATATCCTTCATTCGATCCGTAAATTCGATATGTAAAGCAAAGTCTGCGTCTCATTATGGGATAAGTATAAATTACGAATACCTAAAATAGCGATTGACAATGTATATATATATATGTGTGTGTGTGTGTGTGTGTGTGTGTGTTTGTGGGTTTGTATTTGTGTATTATAGGCTCAGCCCAAGATACGGGATTCAATTTGAAGGATATTTCGGAGTACTCGGCTTATTGGGAACAGACTCGCACTTTGTACGCGCCATTTGAATGCACAACAACAATGAAATCTGGAAATGCCGATGTTTATTTGAACGAGATTCCTGGCGGACAATACACGAATCTTCAGTTCCAAGCTTATTCCCTCGGTCTTGGAGAGTTCTTCGAAGACGTTAAGAAGGCTTATAGGGATGCCAATCTCCTTCTTGGTGATATTATCAAGGTTACGCCTAGCTCAAAGGTAGTAGGGGACTTTGCACAATTTATGGTTCAGAATAAGCTCAAGCCAAATGACGTACTTGAAAAAGCCGAAGAACTTTCTTTTCCAAAATCAGTGGTGGAGTTTCTCCAAGGTGCTATTGGTGAACCGTATCAAGGATTCCCCGAACCTTTACGGTACAATGATCTTTTTTTTTTTTTTTTTTGTTTTTTTTTGTTTTTTTTTTTCCATATTAAATTGGTTTCGTACTGACAACGCACTTGTCTCTCAATGTTCCATCATTACTACACGTGTATATATATATATATATATATATATATATATATATATTTACTTATTTATAGGTCGAAAGTTTTGAAAGACATGCCACGGATTAAGGGAAGACCGGGCGAAAGCTTAGCCCCGTTAGACTTCAATGCTTTGAAAGCTCGATTACAAGAATCTCATTCGCGTATTACCGATAAAGATGTTATGTCCGCTGCACTTTATCCGGAAGTTACGGAAGATTATCTCAACTTCCACGAGTCATACGGGCCAGTTGACAAATTAGATACAAGGATCTTTTTAACTGGACCAAAGGTTGGCGAGGAATTCGAGGTCACTATCGAAAAGGGTAAAACATTAGGTATAAAAACGTTAGCGATGGCCGAAGATCTTACACCAAACGGAGAGCGCGAAGTATTCTTTGAGATGAATGGACAATTGCGATCTGTTTTCATTAAGGACAAGGAAGCTGTTAAGGTACAAATAATCCCGTTGAACAATTAAAGCACTATTGACCATTGTAATTAATAGCATATTAATAGCTTAGCGTTCGTGAATATAGTAATATAAGATTGTGTAAATTATTGCAGGAGTTACACATTCACCCGAAAGCGTCAAAGACCGACAAGAATCAAATTGGCGCTCCGATGCCTGGTACTGTTATCGATATACGTGTCAAGGTTGGTGATAGCGTCGAAAAGGGTGCCGCCCTTATTGTACTTTCGGCAATGAAAATGGAGATGGTCGTGCAAGCGCCGCGGGCAGGTAAAATCAAGACTCTTGACATTACACAAGGAATGAAACTCGAGGGCGACGATCTCCTGCTCACAATTGAATAAGCCTAATTTCACTAATTTCACCTCCTCTGCGCTCATTGTTTATTATGTCCAAGATAAAGAGTCACAAACTTATTAGGAAACAATGATAACGCGACAATGCTGTCTCGATGACTATTCATACAAAAATTTTATCAATATCAACAAGCCAATTAAACTTTCGATTAAAAATGAAAAATTAATAAGAATATTATATTAAGTATAGACGATAAATTTGTTACTTTTTTTTTTTCTATTTTTTTTTTTTTTTTTTTTTTTTTTTTTATACCTTTGTATTATTCTTAATATAATATCGACTGTTTGACACTATTGACAGCATTAAATATCAATATAGACTTGAACCATTATTATTAAATTCTTAAAGAATATCACAAAGACGTACCATTATTTTTACCATACAAGAATGAAATGAATAAAAAGTAATGATATTTTATAAAACTGTTCTCTGGAAGAATATAATCTAGATTTCATATATTTTTCTATACTAATATATATATATATATATATATATATATATATATATATATATATTTTTTTTTTTTTTTTTATATATAAATTTGTATCCGTTAAACAATATAATATTAATAAGCATGAACACGTTAAAAGGGGGAAAAGAAAAAAATTTGAAAATATTCATGTACTATTAATAATGCAAATAATTTTCTGTAATAGAAAGTTCAGTAATGTCTATACTGTATAAATAAGAAATACTTGAAATTTGTTATTTACAAACGATAAAATGTAAAGTCCGTTAGTTTTTATAATAATTTTCATACAATGTTCTTAAATATTACTAAAAGAAATTCAACACGATTTTAGCAATTTATGATCGCAACTGGTCGTAATATTACTTAAATATTTATAAAGAGTGAGAGAGAGTGAGAGAGAGAGAGAGAGAGAGAGAGAGAGAGATTTCTTATTGTAATAAATAATCTACAAAGTTTAAGAGATGTATATTGAATTTATTATGTTTTTGATTTGTCATTATTGAATATTTAATTAAATATGTGCATAAATTATTTAATACTCGTAGAATTGAATGAATATTTTCATAATTACTCTCTTCCAGAAAAATTGCATTGTTAAAATACATTCATGTAAAATATGTAATTAAAAATAAAATTAAAACACAAGCATGCAATACATGATGAAAAATACGTAAAGCAGCGTATTCGAAATAAAATTTTTTTTTTTAAATAATAGTTAGAAGCTAGGCTTGCAATGGAAATTAATTGTTTATAATGATTCATTAATCGGACTTTATGATTTGATATATATTAAATTTCTCTAATTACTTGTAAATTAAATTTTATTAATATCTGGCCTACTTAGCATTCGGTATAATAACTTAAAAATACATTTTAATCATTGTTTGCTATAAAAATTAATTTTTAAAAAACTATTATCTTTATGCATGCCACTTATGTAGAATGAAATTTTGTATATAACATTTATTATTCTAAAATTACTTTTATAATGCAGGTAAATTAACATATACGTACGTAGTAAGTAACCCTTCTAAATATTTTTTTTTTTTTTTATTAATAATTACTTTTTAAAATCCAACGATTAAATTATTTTTCTTACTGATTTTTTAATTACAAGCTGTTATTATGCGTTATACGACTCATTAATTCAACAAAATTGTTTTTATTTTAAATTTATTATAATATAAAGTTAAACTATTAATAACAGAAGCTTAATATTAAATGGATGAATTATGTATTCGCAATTATATGAATGTACATAGGATGAATTGGGATTAATCTAAATTAATACAGTCTTGTATCAAGATTACATTTCAAAAATTAAGTTTTAAAAGAAAAATAATTGACTTTAAAAATTAAATAATGAAAAATCAGTCTTAACGATTGTCAAACGAACAATTTAATTTTATATATATATAAATATATAAATAGTTTTGTTGTGAACTTGTACGTTATTTTAAAAATTATTTTATAATATAATAATGTATTTGCTGCTCGACACAATCGTGAATGTATATTACTGAAATCCTATGTTTATTTTATATATAAAGAGATAGGTAATTTTCATTTATAATTTTGTAACAGAGCCAATCGTTGTTACATTAAAGAGTATAAAGTGTTGTAATTAATTACATTGACCTCTCTACAATTTTACTAATAATTACAGTACTTAAGTAATCGATATAATTATCATATCTATTAAATCATTTATAAAACATTGGAAATAATATAATTATAATAATATCAAATTGTTATCTTCTATTTCTGTTATCTACTTTATTATGCTTATTAAGTTTCAAAAGTTTTGCTAAATTATATATGTATATGTATGGATTTAACGATAGTTATGTATATATTTGTACATGCAGATATATTTTTTGTTATAAACAATTTTGTTATTAAACATCTAAAATAATATATATATACACAATGTTATTATATATGAATATATGTATATATAATTAAAGTTTATTGTGGTGTAATTTATTTTTTGTAATTTTGTTAAATATTGCAGTTTTCGGTAAATAAATTTAAGATAAAATTGCAAAAATAAATACGAGAGTTTTAATACTCTTACCTATTATCATAATACTTGTAAATTGATAAGAACAAGTCAGAAATTCAACCGAGTCTTTGGCGTTTTGTAATCGACTTGCTGCGATATGCTTAGGCATTTCTCACCTTAATCTGCGTCACCGAATGGCCGTATTTTACAATGGAACCCACATTTATTTTACATTTGTTACTTTCATATTAGATATAATCCTTTTGAAGTTAACCTTAGTTTATAAAACTAATATCATATATTAAAATCCATATTTTTTGTAACATCGTTGATTAATTAAAAAGAAGTTATTGAATTATTCGTAATATAAAAATAAAAATAAATTATTCTTTCCAACGATTGATATGTCAAGCGATGTTATACATCGAAGCACGAATCAATTACGAAAAGAATAAAATAACTTACATTGGAACAAATTTGTACCTTGAATTTATATGCGACAATGATTGACAATTACATATTTTTAGGATAGATAAGATAGATAAAAATAGCTTCATATTTTATGTGGAAAAAGAAATTATATTAGAAAAATTGTTTACCACCAATTTAAGTCTGACGATTCTTAATTCTTTAATGATATAGAATGTAAAAATGTACAATTATATTCGTGTTAGAAAAAATTGGAAAAAATACCTTTTTTTTTTTTTTTTTTTTTTTTTTTTTTTTTTTTGAAACTTTAAACAATTTTGCCAGATAATATGATATAACATTGCTCTAATTAGCAGCATTATTAATCTTTATTTAATTATTATAATTTTTTTTTTTTTTTTTTTTTTTATAAAGTATACAAAAATTTTCAGTTAATTGTTAAGATAATCAGATGACTTTCCTATAAGAGAAGCCAAAGATTCTAATGAGAATAAATTATTTTATTCTTTAGGATATTTGAACAATTAAGTAAGCTACGATGATCTATTTAAATTCAATGGTTAGGCATTCTTTCAACTTTCATTGAGACAAAAAACCGATCGTTTTTAAATAATATAATGGTATTTTATTAAAGATAATTTGTAAAATATTAAATGTAGCATGTGTGCTGATAGATAATTCTGAATATTACAAATATATAAGTAATCATATGTTTAATGAGACAAACCATTGACAAGAAAGACATTATGCGTAGTGAATTAAATGCGATAAATTTTTATTGTACAAATATTTGAAACATTTAATTGATATTTTATTAAGCTATATGTCCATTATAATCTTTTATTAAAATAGAATTAACATTAATTAGAAATTTATTAACAGTGCTCGGAATTTGACTTCTTCTTCTTCTACAAACGAAAGTAGATTTGGCAATAGAATGGCAAAAATATGTATTTCTAAATACAAATATTTAGTTCATTTTCATCTTGTAAGTATCATTTTGAATTATACATTAATATTTTTAGTAGCAGTGTTATTTTTTTTTTTTAATACGTACATAATGGAATTTATCGACAAAGTTAATATTTTACTTTACTGGCTTTACTCATTTGGCGATCATAGTTATGCAGTTCAGAGAATTGTGGTTTAGTAAAAAGATAAATAAATATTAATGATTTAGTTTAGAAGATTCGATTAAAAATTAGAGAGTATTGGTAAATCCGTTAAACATTATATTAACATAAAGATTATCATACGGATAAAAACGGGAAAAAAATTTTATTTAAAAAGAAAATAATGCCGAGATAATGAAACGAACAGAAAAATTCAAAAAGCTTTTAGTAATAAAAACGGTAAAAATTGGATAAGCGAAATCTTTTGATTTATAAGTTTGTGATAATATTGCTGATCCATACTGCTGTGTTCTTAATGATAATTGTCAAAATATTATTTTCAATATTTATGTACGAAATTAATTCTTAAGCCTAGCACATACAAATATAGATATTTCTTTCTGTAAATTAACTAAGTAGAGAATGTATAGTGAGAATGATAGAAAATGGATAAAGTTTTTAAGGTTGCTTAATGCAAAAGTCTCTGTATTTAAAGAAAATAGTATTTTGTTTTTTTGTTTAAGCCATGTATTAAAGTTGCAAAATAAAACAATTAACTTATTATACTTATAAAATTTATATATACCAAGGGCTATGCTTATTGTTAAGCTAATTTAAAATAACATAAATGATTTTTAAATCTGTTGTGAAATAGATGATATATCCGAAAAATAAATGCAAAATCGACCTCCCATATAATGAGTCAATAATATGTGATTATTGCATTACAAAACAAAACAAACGTAAATGTATCATCGATCCTAAAATAAGCTATTCATGTTACAAAACAATAGCATTTATCAAATAAGCATATAAAATTGCAGTTAATTTTTTTTAATAATAAAAGATCATTTAGTGAGGGCATCGATATAAATTATTTTGCTTTGTTTTTTTGTTTTTGTTTTTTGTTTTTTACCTAATTTGTATCAACAGTCTAATAAAACTGACATTAGCTATGCATTAAAAATTAAGAATATCAGGTATATTGTTAAATTATCTACGAAAGCATCAACATATTATATCACTATACATTAAAAATAAAAAGTTTTCGAAGTAAGAAGAATAATTATGTATTTTGTAAACGTCGTCAAATGGACGAATAAAATTAACAGTTCGAGTATTTCTAAAATTGCCAAAGGCATATTGTTATTGCAGATTATATATTACGTAACGGCGTTGAATAATTATAAGCGATTATCAATTCTCAAAAAGAATTATATAATATATAGTTGACACTACAAATCGCTCCCCGTCTGAGATTAATATGAGTAGAGACAAAACATGAAAATCAGAATCCGATAGTAATCGATTGTGTAAATTCTTTTTTATTGATGCGAGCACACGTAAAATAATTCTTTTAAAATATAGATGAAATAACAGTGAAATAATTTACTTTGTCTTTTAAAAATTGCAGTCTTATGGTTTTTCTTATTATAAAAAAAAAAAAAAAAAAAAAAAAAAAAAAACTTTTTTTTATTTATTTAATGAATAAGCCAATAGTGGATTAGTCTGATGTTATATATACTTAAGTCATTATTCTTTCGATAATCTACCTCGATGTTAGAAATTTTGAAATCTATTTAACGACTGTGTGCTTCCACGTATTAAGATTAATTTCAATCGCTTTGAGTTATCTTAAAGCAATCGACCAACATAAAAATAACAAGAAGCCAATGTAGATTGAGTGTACGTAGGGACCGTAAGTATGCTAAGACTAGTAATTGTCTTTAAATTAGTAGACTCTTAATAGGTTGTTTGGATTATTAAATGTAATATCGATACTTGGTCATTCGGCATTATAGAGTAGAGGAATATAAGAGGCTATTATAATGTTTAAATAGGGACAAACTTGATAATTATTCTTTAATAATCTATGCATTATTTGGATTATCTTGACTGATTGGCTTCAGCATTAAAAATGAAAAGCTTAATTTCGATTCGTAGAGAATTATTATTTATTTGTCAAATTAAATGTCAAGTTGATAAATAAATCAATTACAAGTCTTACTTATATAATAATATAATGTAAATATTATATCGTTTAAAAATAATTATCTGTTTCTTATTCTATTTATTTTGATTAGTTATATGTTATTGTACTGTATTATTTAGTAGCACATATACTAATTATGTATTATTGTGTTAATATTCTATACATATATATATATATATATATATATATATCAAACTATCATACCTGGGATCAGCAATCTAGAAATATATTTTTGGTATCATCAATCTATGCATGTAAAATAAAATAAGCAATTTTTAAACAAATTGAAATAATATATTCTATATTCTTGTTAAATTAATTTTTATATTTTTAATAATAAGTTATATTAAAATTTTTCTCAATGTTTGCGTCTTGTTCATTTGCTTGTTTGTTTATATGTTTAACGTTGCTTCATTATACTTTGATATTATTTATTTTAATTCCATTATATTTTTCCATAAAATTTTAATAATATTTATTACCAATGATTTACGAGACAGTTACAAAGTAAAATTATACTATATTTTAGTTATAAATAAATATTTAAATTTGGATATTTACATACATTATTTGATTAAATAAAAATATGTCGATATATTATTTTATCAGAAAATAACTAAATTTTCAAATACAGCAAAATTTAAAGAAATTATTATGACGAAATAGTTAATTTTCAGGAAACTCGAGAAATAACTGATTACACGCAAATGATAATCAAATATCAACGAGAATTTAAAAAAAAAAATTTGTACATAGTTTTAATTAATATCGCGTTAATTGGAATTTTTATGTAAATTTGTACTATGGAATTATTCTTTTCATCGTAATTGAACAATAATTACTGGATATTGAAAAAAAAAAAATACAAAATATCTGAAGCATAAATATTATGCAATAAATTTTACGTATATTATCGATCTTAATATTTAACTATCAAATACATGTAATCTGCATTCTATTACCTTTATATAATTTACCAATTACTTGCTTTAGTTCATATTTGACAAATCCAAATTTTAGTCATTATTTTCATAAAATTGTTAAATACAAATCTATGTATATATATAAATATCAAAAACAATAAAATAAAGATATACCTACACATATACCTGTATATTATACAATATATATATTAAAAATGATCAATTTTGGTGTTAAATACTTATTAAAAAGTGTAAATCATGAATACTTGAATATATATTTATAAAATAAATTCAATATTATAATTAAAAAAAATTCATGATATCATGTATTTTATATAAATGGATATTACGTGATTCAAACTTATATGATGATAAAAAATATTAAAAGACTGAAAATAAAAGACAAGAATTAATTAATTAATTATTTTTACATTATGACATGCACAATTAGTTAATTTAGAATATATTTCTAGATTGTACATTAAAACACAAAAATTGTTGATAATTCATTCAGAATTACTTAATAATATTTTAAATAATAAGGGACTACAATGTATAATTATATTTTTAAATTATATTACACATTTGAATAAATATTAATAAAAAATGTAAATTAAATTTTATAAAAAAAAAAAAAAAAAAAAAAAAAAAAAAAAAAAAAAAAAACTAATTTAAAGCATTAAATACAAATTGCCTTTTTTACTTATAGATATTATTTTTCTTGATATTTGCTAAAATGATTTAGTTATCTAAAAATACCAAATTTTGAAGTGAAATTACAAAAACTGTACAATTATCATTGGTCAAACATAATAATTTATAAAAATATATTGTTTACATTTTTCTGACTTAGCATGAAAACTCTCAATTTTAATGTAATGGTAATTAAAAATTCATAAATTATCTAACATAATGTAATATATATACGACTGCATTATTTCATAATTTCAATTTAATGAGTGTTTATTCTGTGAATTTAATTTAAACGCTTTGTTTATTTATATTACAAAATACAATATGGAAGTTCGGACAAATTTCTTATAATAAATATAAAACAGTAAAATACGTTAATGCATTGACAAAAATGAGCTTAAAAATTTTCTATTCGCATCATGTGATGATTACATGATTAAAACAATTTTACTTCGTTTTTCAAGATACAATGAATGACGTTAAAATATTATGTCAATAAAATATTCTCAGAAATTTTGTATATTTATTTTAAAATGATAGAACAAAAGGAAATTCCAAAATGTTGATAATAAAATTTTTAACGTCTATTATGATTTTTCACTTTTCCAGAAAATTCAATCGTACAAAATATTTCATATCTGCAGGTAGTGCTTAATTCAACTTAATTCAATTACTCTTGTGAGGATTTAAAAATTTCAATATTATTATCGTCAAATAATAATATCAATAATAATAACACTACCAATCTAATAAACATTAATAATTATAATTATAATAATGTAATAATACAATAATAATGATATCATTTATAAATGTTACTATTAAATATATCATCAAAAAATATCTACTTATATCTATGTTTGATGCTTTCCGCAATTCTACAATTGTTCTTTAAGTTATATGTATGTATCCCTCGACTTATTACTTTATATTACATATTTTCATTAAGAAATTAATTATTTCTGAAATAAGAATTTATTCTACATATTTAAAAACATGATTTTATTAATAATAATAATAAAAAAAAAAAAAAAAAAAAAAAAAAAAAAAAAATAAAAAAAAAATTGTTTCTGTAACAAAACTTATTAATAAAAAAATATTTATTATCATTAGTAATCAAAAATAATATACTCTAAAAAACATTGATTACAAATACAATTTTAGAGTTTTTTTGTCTTATTTCATAATTCTTTTACTCTCAATTTTTTAAACATTCAGAATAAATCGTATTTTAAAATAATAAATTTAGATCATTTTTATGGTTAAAATATAATTTTTAATTTTCTTATGCAATACTGACCTTAAGAACTCACGTAGACTCGAGGAATTATTGAAGGCAGTATTTAATAACTTAAGCTATAGTTTAAGGAAATGCAAATCCAAAATAATTACTTGTTTCATTTAGGTTATTAAACTAACTTAAGGCCTCAAATATAAAATATAATTCGATTTCCTTAATTTTCACAATTTCGTTTGGATCACTTACTCTCGCATTCGCTCACTTTCCACTTCACTCGTGCATATTATATCTGTCACTTATTAACGTTAATTATGATCGTTGCAAAAAATATTATTACAACTATTGTAAGTATTCATTACAAATATACATACATACACATATATATGTATGTACGTATATATATGTATATATATGTAATATATATATGCATACGCACAAACACATACATACGCATATATATACGCGCGCGCGCATACACCCAAATGTATACATACACATATATATATACATATATACACATAGATATATAAATATATATATATATATAAACACACACATATATAAAGGCCACAAGTGTTTCATTGGAATATAAAATAATTAGTCACAAAGTCAAAGAAATTATGAAAATAGAAATATTCTGTTATTATTTTGTTTTTCAAATCGTTTGATATACGATATACGATATTGGTATATGGTATATGGTATATGATATACATATACACACACACGCACGCACGCACGCACGCACGCACGCACACACACACACATATATATATATATATATATACACATATATATAAATATATATATATATATATATATATATAGATATTTACGTTGAACATCAATGTCTAAAATATAAGAATTTAAAATAATTTCTTTTTCAAAAATTTTCAAGATGCTTCGGTTTAGAGTATATCTATTTCTAGAGCTATTTATAAGTAATGAAAGAAACTTTATCGTTTGTAGAGCTTAAGAAATTGTGTAAGAGCTTGAGTTGGAAGTAATAATCTAATAACTTATAAATTTGGACGCAATTCAGTACTTGATACTGAAAATAGACAGGCACTTCCATTATTTGTTAAGATCATAGATGCTTGTGCACTGGCGCAATCAAGACTTACAATCCTTTAATATTTAGTATAAATATATATTGCTATATTAGCAATTGCAATGTACTTCAAGCTCTTTAACAAGTCCTTAAGTATTTAAATATGTTTTGATGGCAATTACTGAAGAAACCAATGTTAATAAGGGTTTAAAAACAATTTTCAACAATGGCAACTCTGTATTGGTTTTCAACTCGCTCAAGAATCCTAAAGGAGTCCTTATTGCTCAGGAAAGTCTTTAAAGATTATCTAAATCACGTGGCAAACGTCAACAGTACTCTCGATTAAAATAGGCGCGCAGTAATAAATCTTCCGAGTTATTAAAGCTTTTGAATCATTATTATAAGCTTTATCTTGGGTCAAATTCTTCTCAAATACTTCAAACAAGTGTTCAAAGGTTTCTAAACTCAAATGCGTTCGCCATACCTGCTGCATGCACGGTTATTCGCCAGCAAAGGACTTTAAAAAGATATTAAAAAATCAACACATAGAACTTAAGAGATGTCGCGTGACGGTTTTTTACTTTTTACATGTTCTCAAATTGATCGACGCGACGCTTGGTATTCCCTTTACGAATCTCACGTAATGTTTTATATTTGTCACGACCCTGACGAACGTTTTCCCTATGAATTTTGTCCATGACAGTCTCCTTTGTTTCGTCGCGTGACTGCGCCAAATCCTGCTTCAATGCCTGCAAACGAAACGTTAAATTTAATTCAAGTTTCCGTCAATGAACGAGTCAGAGTCTACACAATCCCCATACATAAAATGTTAATCGCTAAATTACAAACGTAATTATCTGACGTGAACAGTGTTAAATAAAAATAGGGACAGGCTTATAAATAAACAATTATATGCTTAAATTTGTATTATTTACCTTCAGTTGGTCATGAAGGCGTTCGTTTCTTTCGGCAAGAGTGCGCCGTTCTTCAATAGGATCGATAATTGATTCATCGGTTACAAGTTCTTTAGTTACATCTCCATGAGGTACTTCGTCTTCGCCATCATCACCATCCTCTTCATTTTCTTCGACATGATGATGATGTGGTGTTGTATTAGCTTGATACTCTCTTTCGGATTCTTCTTGCTGAAGCCTAAAACGGATATCGATAATTTTGCCACCATTACTTTACTACCATACTCATTGTTACAATTATATATCTAATTTTTACCTGTCAGCTTCGACAATCTTCTGTAACATTCTAGCTTCGGCATCTTTTGCTTCAACTTCTGATTGAATACGTTGAACTTCTTCTTGCTTGTTACGAATCTCCGCTTCCAGTTTTGCTCTTTCAGCGGCTTCCATTTCGTGAGATCGCTCAAGCTTCTCCATCATCGCCGTTAATTCCTAATTTACAGTTTAAAGTTAATTATTAATTATAAAATTATCGCTCACATGCCCGTTAACATAATAATCGATCGAGTACCAGCCCGATAAAACTATTTAAACATTAAATTTTAATTAGAATGTAAGCCACCTACCGTTTGTCTATTCTCCAGCTCCTCTTTGGCAGCGCGTAATTGTTTCAATTGTTCCTCAAGACGTCTAATCATCTCTTGAGCAACGTTTAATTCTGCATCTCTCCTTTCCATTTGTTCAGCCATAGTTCGAAGTCGTTCTTCAAATTCTTGTTGCTTTTTCTCGGCCCGTTCTCTAGCTGCAATTTCTAATTGGAGCTTTTCTCGCTGCTTTTCGCGAGCTTGCTTCTCTTCTTTAGCTTGGGCCTAAAAATTTTCAATTTTTAAAAGGTAACAATTTTTTTTAAAACTTCAAATGCCTAAGGGAGACAAACCTTCATCTGTTGAACATCAATAGTATCGGGTTTACGCCTGCGCATATAAAGTTCGTGGTTTCCCATACAAAGTGCCAAAATTCGTTTATTTATCTTGACACGGGCAGCAAAAAACACAAAATCTGGTGCTTTTTTATCAATTGGCTTAATAATAAATTTCTTTTCGTTAAATGAAATATTACGAATCTCCGACCACGGAAAACCAATTTTTGGTGTCAGCTTATCATCTTTTTCATAAATATTAAGACCCAAAGCATCAACTCCCAGCCACAGTTCTGTACCTTTTTTATTGCGAATTTCGAAATAATTAACTCCGTACATTTCTAAATCCTGAAATAAAAGGATATAACTTTCAGGATATGTGCGTGAACGTGACAATACATGCCTTCTCCATTAAAATTTGTACGCAATTTTTTTTCTTCAATTTATAAATTTCTTTATGATATTACAAGATGAAAGATAAAATTAATTAATTTCAAACATTCAAAATAATGGCATGAAAAGTTTTTTTTTGTTTTTTATTTTTTGTTTTCTTTTGCTTTTTTTTTAACGATAAGAGCAATAAGGCTTTACAAAATTTGAAATACTTTAAATACTTACAATATTTTAAAGTAAATTTTCGTCGATTAATTTATTACAAAATAATAGTTATTTGCAAACTATTAATGTATTATTAAAACAAATATTAAACTCTTAATTCATAATCGAAATAAATAATAGAAAAAGTTGAGAGTATTTTTTCAGGACAAAAAAAAGCAAGTATTTCATCAAGGAAAAAATTGCGACTGTCTTTTTAAAAAATTATTTAATACTTTATTTTATAAATTATTTGTAGAAAAAAATTTATATATATAAAAAGAAAAGAAATAAAAGAAAAAAGCTAGAAATTTGTATCTCGTTGACTTTGAATTTTATTTTGAAAACTTCCTTGTTCTTGAGTTCTGTCTTAACAAAATACTTTTAAACGATCTTCAGAATTTTAAGAATACATTTCCACATACTAATAAATGTGCAGCATCAGTAAAATTAATATTTTTTTTATCACAATGTTACATGAAAGCTAACTACTTCTAATTGTACACGTAATTCCATCTATAAATATTCTTTTGATTAAATAACTCTCTGATATAAATAATATAAATAATATAAATAAATAAATAAATAAATAAATAAATAAATAAATAAACTAAATAACTGAATAAAGTTAGACAAGTACTATTATATACAAATAGGATTATAATTAACAGGGACGACAGATATAACAACAATAATAATTGTAAATAAAAAATAATGACAGGTAAACAAGTACCCACAGGTACTCTTAGCTACAGTTCCAAATATTATTACGCGTTTTATAAAAATATCTCATTACCTGAGCAATTTTTAAATATTCCATCATTGCATCCTCGCGTAACATTCCTCTGTGCTCTTGCCACCAATTAGTGATCGATGTCTCCCATTCTTCCTTGCTCATCTTATGTTGATCCATAACACGCTGCGGTAACAGACGATCATTAGCTAAAAATCCGGTAACATGAACGCTCTTTTGATAATCGCCGTGTCGGGCTTGTACGGCGTAAGATGCGAGCAATACTGATGTTTCGGGTGGACAATATGTCTCGTCAGTTAAAATAGCACTTTTCACCTGGAATATGCAAACGACGTTTTACAATGAATCATTAGCATACTTTTTTTCTTCTTCGAAAGAGTGCTATTATTTTGAAATTTAAGCGAATAATAGTTTATGATAGAAGATATTAAAGTGATATCTAACCTGTAGATAAAAAAGCCGCAAAGTTATATTTTGAATCAGTTCCTCGGCAACATCTTCTGGATAAAATTTTGCGCGAAACTTGAACTGCAATGGATTCTCCTTCTTAACTTCCTGATTCATAACCTACAAGAATTTTTATGTATACATATGTAATTATAAATTTTCTAGATATTAAAAATACTCAAACAATTAAAAACTGACAAACATGAATTATAAATAAATCTAAATTGTTGAAAAAGTGTCAAACGTGCAAATTTTGTATTTTAAAATTTTTATTAAATAAAGATTTGAAGGGGGGGGGGGGTAGGAATTAATCATGTTCTTTTAGTATTCGTTGTAATTGAAATTGTAACAAATTGCAAACGTAAAATAAGAAATGATTTTTTTTTCAATTTAATTGTAATTAATAGGAGGGTCGGAAAACAAATTTTTTTTTTTTTTTTTTTTTTTTTTTTAATTTAAATAAATAATAAATAGGTTAGGACTATATATATCTCATGTTACACTACTGTAGTTCAATGCTAGTAGGTGATAGTTTTTTTTTTTTTTTTGTAAATATATATATTATATTGCACACAAAATTGCGGAATGACTGAAAGATAATAAAAGCCTGATAGTAAGAAATACGAAGGATTTAACAACAAAAACAAAAACAAAAAAAAAAAAACCAAAAAAAAAAAATAATAGTAAAACTTTGAAAATGAAATTGCATGTGCCATTCAAGTTTTATTTACTAATAAAAATAAAGAAAATTCAATATGTGTGCTTTCACATCAAGCAATGCCTGCGTTTGAAAATAGAAAAAAAATGCGTCTATTTATTATGCGTTTTAACAGGCGATAAAAGTACAATTTCGAAAGCGTATTCACTTGTTAATGGTACTTGTATGATTCGTAAACATAATTAATTCGGCGAATTTCAATACAAAAGTATAAACTATTTAGACTCAATTTTCGAAATTTCTTATACAATATGTGAAACATAATTTTGCAAATTAATTCACGAATCACGATCGTTTATTACAAATAACGTTAGCGTTTCATTCCTTTGGCAGTTTATTTATTTAATGAAAATTCTTCATTCGTATTACATAATTTTTTTTTGAAGTTTTTGAAAAGTATTTGCTCGAATAAGGGAAAATATAATAAAATCAGACACGACTTCACTTAGTTATCAAACATTATTTAAGGAATAAATCATTCGGGTTATAAATTCCATGCAACTACGCAGGTCCTTTAAGATATCCAAACATAGTCAACTTATTAAAAAACCTGTGCGTTTTTTTATATTCTTCTAAGCATTGCTTACGTTGAATATTTTTCGAGGGCCAAATGGAAGAACCTGCAATTATTTTCAACGTATTCATTTTCTATTTTGACTAATTGAATATCAACATTTTTAATTATATACGTTAATATTTACTTTAATTTACGTAATTTCATTATGACAATATATATGGTTCTACACATTGAAATTATAGTGATTATACATGCGAACGTAAGTCATTTTATATTCGATATTCCGTTCTCTTTTACCTTGCACAATTCAAATCCTCGCTCAATACTTCATTTCTTCATTGTTTAATGTAATAAGGCAGCTCTTTTTACTTACTTTTTGTAATTTACAATTAATTTATATAAGCGTATTCGATTTAATTCTTTTCATATCATAAAATTTATCTTATCTTTTGAAAATGCAGGCAAAATAATCAAATATATAATGTCTTATTTTTGTACGTAGAATAAGTATGAGATAAATTATTGATAAAGAAAATAATGAATTTGACAGAAAAGTGGGTTCGTTATGTAAGAACGCAAAGAGCCAACTTGCTACCAAGTTTTGACTTACCCTAGACAAGAATGAAGATAGTCCGCTCTGCTAGTTGTTAGTACCACACCAAGCAAGCATTTTAAAAAAAAAAATGTAAAAAGCATATTGTTAGTTAGTAGCTCTATGATTTCGGAAATTCTAATGTTCTGCATATAAATGTTTTTTACGAGTTAAAAATTATAATATAAGGTAAAGCGCGATTAATCAAGACTTGTTAAAGTATCTTATACATTTCATTAAACTGCAAGAAATTTGTATTTAACTGATGTATTAAGCATAAAAATTCAATTAAAAATCAATAGAATTATAAAGAGACGCTTAATTTATTGTATTGATATTGTGATATTTTTATAACAAGACTGTGTGTGTTAACAAAAGTCAAAAAACCAAATGCGCAATTTTTATATAAATTTTATACTCGTACTATTAGAAATAAACATTTACTTTTTCTAGTTATTGTTTTAAATTTCTCTCTCTCTCTCTCTCTCTCTCTCTCTCTCTCTCATATATATATATTACATATAGTACATTGTTGAGAAATGATATTTCATAAATTATAAATTTAAAAGCCCTTAATAGTTTCTTAAAAATATCCTTAAATAACTACAATATTTTAACATTATTATGGGGCTCATTGTAATTATAATGCAAAAAGATTAAAAATTACTGTAGTAAATTAATATTTCAGAAAATTTTCAATAGTTTGTATAACAATCAAATAATGTCAGAGACAAAGTATCGTAAATTCGATATTTCGAAGTTGATGATTAAAATATTGGAAAGTATATAGTATATTGTTATACGAAATACTTATTGTATGCATATCTTGGGATTCCCATCGCACTCTATTTAACTATGAATAAATAATTAACACGTCTTTTTATTTTAATACATAGGTAAGCGTGTAAAATATAATATATAATTTTTCAATGTTAAGGTCATATTTTTTTCAGGAATTACGAATTACGTATCGACAAATTGCTCCCATCGTAGAATATTCTTTCATTGTTAATCGATCATTTATATTTGATCGTTTGATCGTATGATCGAATGTTATTGACGTAGGGTTCACAAATAAAACGATAAATAATTAATCGTTATAAATCTTACAATTTTATATAATAATTTAAAACGTATAAAATAAATGCCTTTATTAAGTTTGAATTAAAAATTCAACTATTGAAAACATCTGTTTACTTTGGTTGAACGAATTTCCAATAACATTATTAATTACGAGAATTAGAAATAAAAGCTTGACATTTGATGCAAGGTCTGATTCAATATTGTAATGGCAGTCTTGAGAAGGAGAGTAAAAAAGCAGAAAGAAAAAGAAAAAAAAGATCAAAATATGTTGGGTAAAATAGAATTATCTTACATAAGAGTTCACACTTGGTTTTTCTAACATCGCAGAAGACAAATGAAACCGCACTCGTGACCATTACTTTTCATTTCGATTTATAATTTATTTCCCAGTTGGATTTTTATTTTTAATATTCTGACAAGAGCATTAATAATCCTTTCAAAATCTGATGCTTTTATTTATCTTTGATTTATGTTAGTTTTTTAAAAATATTTTTAATTATAAATAATACTTAACTACGAATACGAATGATTATTTTCAATTTATTATCTCGAGCATTTTTAGAAATGGATGAAGATTATATTTAAGACAAAACTTAATAAATGTTCGATTGAACGGCTCAATTAAGATTCAATAGCATTTTCTTAATTACTACATTAAGATAAGATTTTGACGCAAGCAACCTAGCGCATAAATTTATTTTAATTTCCTCCGCATAAATAAAAAATTTCATTTCTTTCCTGAAATTATCAGAGTTATAAAGCAACTGCTAAGAAAAAAGAAGAAGAAAGAAAACAAGTCCGATGTTATAAAGTACATTTAAATTCAATTTGTATGAAAATATTTAGTATAATCGATAGGACGACGAAAATAAAGCAATAAGATTAACAGTTCATGTGTCATATGTGTATAAGAAACAGACTAAACGTACTTTTATTTATGAGCTAATATCGGAATTAAAAATAACAACAGGACTGGCATGAAACACGATGCGAAGGAAGTTGTTACGTCGCTCACACGGCAATTGCATATCCAGTATTTTTACCTGTAACGTGTTTATTATTATTTGCGATCGTTAAGAATCGGTAAACAAAATGTAATTTCCGTGGGTTCGTTTGCGCGCGGATCTTCATAAAATTCATTCGAATTCACTCGGTAGTACGTACTGGCAAGCAAATGTCTCTTATTTTTCTTTTTCCCCACTTTCATCTCCGTTTTAGATTTTTATTAGATAATATCGTAAAAATATTTGATTTGTCGAGCTTTTAAATATATTTGAATAAATATATTAAAATTTTTTTTTAATTTTTTATTGTTAACACGCATTTACCGACTATGTATAATGTAAAATTAACATAATTATTAAGAAAGCAAACCGTATATATATATATATATATATATATATATATTGTAAAGTAAAAGCTTAGTTGTTAATGAATTTTATATCTTGAATATTGATGATTAACGACATACTTGTTAATGCAAAATTTAATTACAATTACGTGTGCTAAGAGATACTTATAATAAACAGAATTTTTTTTATACAAAGATGTATTTTCTGTTTCGAAATTTTTTTACATTAATTACTCCTTTCGAGGAGATTTTTCTTACAAGAACATCACTTGAACTTGGACAGTGCTTATTATGCTGATTAATTTGCTTAAAGAAGTTACTTTATTAAAAATCAATGTGTAATTTGATGATTAATATATAAATTAATGTTTTTTACTAGACATTGATAATTGACGATACATCGGTGACAATTGTATAATTATGTATGACACAATTACAGACATCACTTTACTAAATTGTCAATATTATGTTAGATGTTACAAATATTACATTTACATAAAATATAGAGTATTGTCTGAAAAATATAATCGGTTATCTTATCTCTCGGTAATTAATTAATTGTAATTTAAATTAACAAATAATAATTATAGAATAAAAAAAAAAAAAGAAGAAGAATATATTGATGTAGTATTAATTGACAATTTTCAGTCGATCTCGCAAACACTTGATTATAACATTATATAATTTTCTATTTAAAAATATTAAGTTTTCTAACCTTATCTCTCTTCTATAGAAATTTACATATTTTTTTTATTTTTATTTTTTTTTTTTTACACCACGTTCATTTTGTGCTAAAGTTGAAAATGTAATTAAAAGTTATTATTATTATCCAAGTTTATAATAGTTTATCTACCCATTTCCAACATTCAGTTGCTTACTCACAATTACTCACAACGCGCGGATATAAAGACACACATTAGTTGTTATTATTATTAAAATCATTATTTAAACAACGACAAATTTATATTACAGTTATTTACTTGATAGAGATTATTGTGAATACATTGGGATTGCGATGAAATTGGTAATTTAGGAAATTATGCAAAAGTATTTAAAAATATATTTTTTCTTATAATTATGTAAAGTCTAATAATTCTTTAGATATACATAGACGACTTTTAAGAACATAAGCTCTCGATAAAATGATTTAATGGTGTCTTATAATATTATAGATTAATAATGGAGAAGAGTAATGAAATCCTAATAATTATAAGTGTCAAAGTGTATGACTTTATGTCTATCGGGGTGACGGCATTCCATTAGTTTTGTGAGGCCAAGAGATTTGTTGACATTATTAACGGTAACAATGAATGGGAAAGTGAGTCGGTCCCCATACTTTCTTACAATAACAAAATAATTGTAATATTTATTCTTGACGAAGTAAGGTCAGTAGAGAGTGACTTTGTCGAGTTCTCGATGATGAGGACTTTATTCATTCGTCTTACCAATTCACCGTCGAACTCGTCATCTGTATCGGAATCCGAGCAGCCTCTCAGCTTTCGAACTTTCTTTTTCACCTCTTTCTTCACCACTCGTCTTATCGCGCTTTCCGGCTGGAAGTGCCGCACATAGACACAAGAGAGCATTTTTGTCCAACTTTAAAAAGGTCCTTTATTACGGAGAAGCCTATAATATTCAGTACCACACTGGCTCTAATCAGCAAACTATAAGTTGAAGGACGCGGTTTGTGATGTAACTAAAACGTAACTTTTCCGAGCGTAACAGCATTATGCGCATACCTTTAGAAAGCTTCGTTAAATCAAACTTTATTACATTCAAAAAATACTGCTACGATGATACTTTTACGACAATTACTACTCAATTCAAATATCATATTATACTTAATTTCTACTTTGTCATATAAATATTACGATAGAAGCAATTACAGAATAAAATTTTTCATTTTTAATTTTTCTATAAAAAAAAAATAAAAAAAAAAAAAAAATTTCTTGTAAATATTATAAATACAACGACTAACGATACATTTAAACATAATCTTAAAGGCGTTTTCTTTTTTACAAGTATCTAACTAATGTTCTAATATACTTGTTTAATTCATTTCATATTAATCATGTTC